GTGGTACTACCCACCTCGGTGGCTGCAGTGACCTCTGCCAACTCCAACAAGTGAGCATCAGCAGGGGAGACAGCGGAAAACCCAGCGCCAGTAACCCCCTTCATAGTTTTACAGGGGGTCCCTTCCCCCTTGCCAATGGGGGGGGTGCTGGGCCTGCATTCCCTGCTTTACGGCGCCTCCCTCGCACGAGCTCCCAGATCCCCGAAGAGGGGGGCTGGCCAGCCGGGTCAGAGCCAGGGAGCGAGGGCAATGATGGGAGGGTAAGGGAAGACGAGGGCAGGACAGCAGGGCAAGGGACAGACTCCCCCTGAGGCAAGCCCCGCTCGATTTCAGCTACCGGCCCTGCCACTCACTCTTCTGCGGGCCCTGGTCTACTAATACCATTCCTGCACACTGATCTGGGCACGTTGGAGGGGGGGCCTCCCCCGAGACCCGAGTAGAGTTAACAACGGTCACGGATGGAGGAGGGGTGACCCCAGGGACCGGGCGATCAGGGCCGCTGGCAATGGTCAAGCCGACGCCCTTCCGGGTATCGGGAGTCCCAGATGCCCCTCCAAGCCGGGCCAGGGGGCAGTCCCTCCAGACGTGCCCCACCACCCAGCAGAGAAAGCACTGGGCCTCCCCCGAAGAATAGTAGACCAGGTACTGGGCCCCTCGATGGGGCACCAGAAAGGACCCCGCCAGAGCCCCTCCGTCACGTCCTGCCAGTGGCACTTGAACCTGCACCTACAGGTGGAACGATAAAACATGGCAGAGGGCGAGGTCCTTACAGCCCAACGGAAGGGGGCTGAGGACGGACAGGGGCTTCCCCAGGGTGGAGAGGAATGGCAAAAGGGCGGCATTGGGGAGGAAGGGAGGAACAGAGGAGAAAACCACCCGTACACCCAGAGCCTCCAAAGGCTCAAGGGGGACATGAACGCCCCCCACCGCCAAGCCCCTCTCCACTGCCTCCTGGGCAGCAGCCTCCGCCGCCAGGAAGAACACCACCTTCCCAAACATCTTAGAGGCCGCTACCATGCCTGGGGGCCCCACCACCCGTGCCAATGCCCGCATGTAGGTTTCTACGTGGGACAAGGCTAACACCAGGAGGCAACACACCCTGTGCTCCCTAGTGAGGGTGGGAAAGAGGCCCCGGCCGCCAGGAATGGTATTCCGGGAGACGGCTGGAGCAGATGGCGAGGCGGTGAGCGGAGGGGGTTGCAGCAACTTGGGCGTACGCCCTGGGGGCCGAGGAAGCGGCACCTCCAGGGCTGGTGGAAGGAACAACGCGTCGGGGGAAAAGGGGGCCTGCGGCCGTTGACGGGATCACAGCGGGAAAAGGAACCACTGCCATGGGTGAGTTCGCCTTCTGGGCACAGCCCTTGCCCTTCTTCGTCTCCCAGCCCTTCCCACCGGCCAAGGGAGTGGTCTCAGAAGCGGAGGCGGCAGAGGTCGCAGCAGCAGCAATGGAGTCCCTATCCGAGCCCACCGCCGTCAGTGCCTAAGTGGCAGCGATGGCAGGCAACCCGGCAGCGGCAGTCGAGGCAGCCATCACAAGGGAAGGTGGGAAGGGAGACTAAAGGGAAGTCGCAGGGGTGACCAGGGAAGTCCCATCCCCCGAATCACCCACCACGGTAAAGGAGGGATAGGGACAGCCACTTAAGGCAGGAAACAAAGGGAACGAAGGGAAGGAAGGGGTGAGAGGGAGAGAGGGAGGGGGGAACGGCTACCACACACCCCTGCTAGGCTGAAAGCAGGGCAGGAGGGCACCAACAGAAAGGGACGCAGAAAAACAAGGAACACAACTCCCAGCACAGGATGAAGAAACCAGCTCCCCCAGCTGCACGAAGGAAAAGGGGGAAAAACTAAAGCATCATGAAGGAGTGTGCATCAGTGAAGGGAATAACTGAAGAGGGAAGGGGAATCCCAAGTGCCGAAAATAGAAAGTGGGCACGCAGGCAAGAGGTTAAACCGGGAGGGGGGGGCGAACAGCAAGGGACTAGAATGAAGGGTGGGGGAGGACGAGTATGCCAGAGGCAAGGAACAAAAAACAGGGTGGGCTCAAAAGCAACCAAACCAAAAAAAAAAAAAAAAAAGGAGAAGGGGCGGGCATCAAGGCCTGCACCCTGGGACAGGGGCAGGGCAAACCAACCAACCAAGGACAACAAAGAAAAAAGCTCCACAAAAAGCAGGGCAGGGCAAAACAGAGCAAACAGGATGGCTAGAAGTGGAACGGGTGGGGCAGGCAGCAAAGGGAAAGGGGGCAAACAGCTGCAAGGACAGGGCAGAGGGCGAAGCAGCGGGAAAGGGAGCCCACCAGCCAAATGCAGCAGGGGAGGGAGGGCAAGTCCAAGGGAGGGAAGAGGCCATGCGCATCCACGGGCGCCCGAAAAACAAGTGCCCCCTCGCTGCTGATACTGTCCCAAGATGGGAAAAATGACAGAGCAAACTGCTGGGCTGGGGAGTGGAGAACAGAGCCAGATGGTGATTAGGAAAGTGGAGGGGTAGTGGTGGCAGTAGGGGAGTGGACAGACCAGTGGGAGGGCTCCACGCCACTCCCCCAGCTCCCCACTACAACGGCACCTCCCACCACAGAAGCAAGGATGTTACAAACCCCCTCCACAAAGCAGGGCCTCCTCCACTCCCTCCTCAGCTCCAGCAGCAGCAACAGGCTCTCCAGCAGCAAGGGCAGCAGCAACCCAGCCAGGAGAGGCCCCAAAAATGATGGATAAAGTGGGCCTTGCACTCGTCTCTGAGGGTCAAACCAGCAGGGTCCTCTCCACAGTAGCAGTAGCAGCCGGGGGGCAACCGGCCAGCAGGACAGCCTCAAAAGAGTAGAAGGCAGGTAGATCAGCCTCAGTCTGTTGAGATCCTGGAGATGGGTGGGCGGAGACCACCCACTACTAAAGCACCTCCCCCAGCCTAAGGGGAGAATCCACAAGGTCCGGAAGCTCAATTAAGTACAGGGGACAACTAAAGACATAACAGCCACCCTGTTCTGCTATTCACAACTGAAGCTCAACAATAGGGTTACCATATTTCCACAATCAAAAAAGAGGACACGGGGGGGGAGGAGCCCCGCTCTAGCCCCGCCCCTGCCCTGTCCCGCCGCCATCCACTCCCTCCCACTTCCCACCCCCTGACTGCCCCCCTCAGAACTCCCAACCCCCCGCTCCTTGTCCCCTGACTGCCCCCTCCTGGGACCCCTGCCACTAACTGCCCCCTAGAACCCCACCCCCTATCTAAGCCTCCCTGCTTCTTGTCCCCTGACTGCCCCCTCCTGAGAACCCCCCACCCTAACTGCCCCCCTAGGACCCTACCTGTCCCCTGACTGCCCCGACCCTTATCCACACCCCCACCCCATATTCACACCCCGCCCCCAGACAGACCCCCGGGACTCCCATGCCCTATCCAACTGCTCCCCGCCCCCTGACAGGACCCCCAGAACTCCAACCCCCTCTGCTCCCTGCCTGCCTCGACCCCTCTCCACACCCCTGCCCCATATCCACACCCCCTCCCCCAGACAGATCCCCGGGACTTCCACGCCCTATCCAACTGCTCCCTGCCCCCTGACAGGACCCCCAGAACTCCCGACCCATCCAACCCCCTCTGCTCCCTGCCTGCCTTGACCCCTCTTCACACCCTGCCCCCCTGACAGCCCCCCCAGAACCCCTGACCCATCTAATCCCCCCTGCTCCCTGTCCCTGACTGTCCCAATCCCTCTCCACACCCCTGCCAGCCCCCCCGAACTCCCGACCCATCCAACCCCACCTCCCTGTCCCCTGACCAGGGCTGGCTTTATCAAGAGCCCAGGAATCGGGCTGCGCTCCGGCCGGGGTCACGGGGCTTGGGGCCGGGCCGGAGGTGCTTGGCCGGAACTGGGGCCGCCGCCCTGGGGCCAAGCTGGGCCGGAGCCGCTGGGGCCGGGGCCAGCGCGCTTGGCCAGAACCGGGGCTGGCGCCCCAGGTCCCGAGCCGAGCCGGGCCGGAACCGCTGGGGCCAGGGCCGAAGCCGCTGGGGCCAGGGCTGGGAGTGCTCGGCCGGGCCGGAGCCGTTGGGGTCAGGGCCAGAGCCGCTGAGGCCAGGGCCGGGGGTGCTCGGCCGGCGCCCCTTGGCCGGAACCGGGGCTGGTGCCCGGGGGCCCGAGCCGAGCTGGGCCGGAGCCGCTGGGGCCGGGGCCGGGGGTGCTCGGCCAGCGCCGCTCGGCCGGAACCGGGGCCAGTGCCCAGGGGCCCGAGCCGAGCCGGGCCAGAACTGCTGGGGCCGGGGCCAGGGCCGGAGCCACTGGGGCCGGGGTCGGAGCCGGGGGTGCTCGGCCGACGCCGCTCGGCTGGAACCAGGGCTGGGGCCCGGGCCTGAGCCGCTGGGGCCAGCCGGGGCCGGAGGGAGCCGCTCGGCCGGGGCCGGACTGGGCTGCGCCGCGCCTCCCTGGAGCCCTCCTCCTCGCATCCTCCCTGCCAGCTTACCTGCTGCTGCCCGTCTGCCCCTGCTTGTTTTCAGACTTCCCGCGAACATCTGATTCGTGGGAAGCAGGGGAGGGGGAGGAGCAGGGGGACGGAGCATTCAGGGGAGGGGGAGGAGCAGGGGGCGGAGCGTTCAGGGGAGGGGGAGGAGCAGGGGGCGGAGCATTCAGGGGAAGGGAGGAGGGGAAAGACAGCTGCGGGGCCGGGGGCGTGCTAAGGCTGCAGGGGATGGGGGGAGCTGGGAAGGGGCTTTGGCTGCCGAGCGGCGCTTGGCCGCTGCTTTTCGATCTATAAATAGCCGATGGGGGAAATCCCAGACATTTTTAGATTTTTAGAAATCCCCCCTGGATGGCTATTTATAGACCGAAAAGCCGGACATGTCTGGGGAAATCCGGACATATGGTAGCCCTACTCAACAGTGCAGAGACTCTGACCCAACAAGTCTTTTCATCTTTCAAACTGAAATTCTGTAATATTATGGGTTGGGGTTCAAGGCTAAATAAAGGTGTTGAGAGACTGAGAAGTGGGAAAAGGCATAACTAAAACTACTTTACTCACTGCTTGCACCAATAGCTGGTGAGCCATACCCAGATCTGGATGCAATTCCAATGCTCAGAAGCCCAAAAGGAGTTGTGGGGTGCTCCATGGTTTCTCTCTTAAACCCGTTGCCAAGGTTGTATTCAGCCCAAGAGAACCCTGTGCCTGGAATTGGCCTCCATGCAATGTTTCCCAAGGGTTCCTTATCAATGGTGATGCCACCAGATTCTGATGTTTTGGCTGTTATCATTGCATAGTTATCATACTGGTCCTGTCCATGTATGTTGTAGGTCTGGCAATAGCCAGAGACATCTGGGATCATCAGGAGGAAGGGATCATACACCATTTTCCCTTTGCTCCCACCAGCACAGAAGAAGACGACTTGGATCCCAGCACTAGCAGAGATGTACAAGGGATTAGGGAATTTGATTTCAAATGTCACAACCTGCCCAGCAACCAGGTCCTTAGTGGCTCTCACCCTCCCAGACTGATAATCAATGCGAGTGTGTTGGGAAGCAGCCACATAC